TACTACAGACCGACACCCTACTACGAACCCTAAACCCTCTTCAGCCCTTAAAGAGGTGAGCTGCGCCACTGGCTCCGCCTTCAAGTGTAGCCTCCTACTGCTGGTGCTCATGGCCCCTCAGAGTCAGCTTATGCAGTACAGGGTGTATGAAGGGGCTTCAAGCTTCAGGGCTTTTGGGTGCATACGGTGTGTAGGCTTTAGGGTTTCGGGTGCTTGGTGGTATAAGGCTTCTATGAGGATGAGTATCTACAAGGGTTCTGCAGGGTTTCCGTTAGGGCTTCTATAAAGGTTCTGTCAGGGTTCCATAAGGTTTTCTACAGGGTGTTTTAGGCTTTGCGCTTTGGGTGAGATGGGCAGAATCCTACACGAACATTCATATATGCCTTATTGCAGAGAAGGCAGGGCTTTCTCTACTGTACAACTTGATGTTTAAATTAATCTAATAAACCCTATAGAACCCTAAGCTTTAAAGTTTCTTGGCCGTTACACTGAGCAACTGGCCGCTCTGAAGCCTTGAAGCCCAAGACTTGCTCCACAGGTTTGGGGTGAAACCGGGTGCTGCACAGTGCTAGGCTCAAATAGAGTTGCAAGTACCGAATTGCGGCTCATGCTTGTGCTGTAACCGAAAAGTACTGTAACAAAGGAAAGCAATCTCAGCCCATAAATCCTAAACTACAGATTGGTTTCCAAAATCCTCCCCGGACCCCTTCAAGGACCAAGAGGACGCAGTGGGAGGATTCTTTCCATCTTAGATCGTATACTTTGCGACAACTTCGGCCTTCTAGAGCATACTGAAAAAGTTGTTTTTGTTTTGCTAGGATACTCATCCCCTCTCTTCTTGAGGGAGCCTCAATCGAACTCTTCGGGTTTTGTAGGGGCATTGTGATTAGAATACGGCCTGAGGGCGATTACGATGAAGAAGAGGGCTTTCTCTGGGACCTATGACCTAGATACAAGGATATTATTTCCAATTTATTCCTTGTGCTTGGGATTTAGTAGGACATTACTCTCAAGGCCCGGTCTACTGGCCTACTCATGATGAGGCAGCTAGTACTATGAGGGGTTCTGAGCATTAGGGATCCCCTTCTTGAGGAGGGTCGATTCTTCAGGATACTGCTCTTTTTCGGTTTGCACTTTGTTCCGCAACTGTCTGAACCTCCCACATTGCAGATCCTCTAAAAGAACCATTGTATTCATAGCTAGGAGGCCGTTGTACTGCATCATGCCACTCCTAAATCCTAAACCCCCAGCCACCTAAACCGCGAAGTTCCCATAAATCTATATAGCAGTCTCTTGAAACCTTAGTAAAAGCCCTAAATCCGATACCCTTGCCGAGCCCAGGTTCTGCTGGGCCCGTGCATCGCGTGGAAGAGCATCACGCAGCTCGGCGTGGGTTTTAGCAGGAGCTCAAGGTTGCCGGGGCTTTTGAGGTTTCATAGTCTTTTTTCAAGCAAGGGTGTTCGCAGAGTTTTTGGTAAGGGCTTGGTAGAGGCGTGGTTGCAGGGATTCTAGAAGGGTTGATACGGGCGGTCTAGGGATATTTTAGGGGTATACTTCCAGGATTCGGGAGTTTCGGGCTTAAAATCTTTGAGGCTTGGGTCTAGCGTCGAGAGTTTGGCACGTGGGCTACGGCTCAGGATTTCAGGGTTTGGTCAGTGGTGCCAAGGCAGGCAAAAGAGGATTCCGGCCTGGAGGCTCAATCCTCTAAATGCTACGGTCTGTTAATCGGAGGTTTACGTAATGCCTTGAGCCTTGAACCTGCGAGACAATCAGTTCTTGAGTTTGAGTGATCTTCAAACTCCAATGCGCCTCCTCCAGCACCCCTAGCTGAAAACCCGGACCAATGATGAGGGAACCTTGTGAACCTCGAATCGCCGAGCTCTACGCCTTCTAAAAACCTCAAAGCAAAACCCCGAACCCTAAAAGCCTCAACAGCTTTTGGGCAGTTCCCAAAAATAGGGTCCTTTGTAGGATCCTTTTTATAAGGATATTGGGGACCCCGAAAAGGGACCCTGAGTTAGAGAGCTAACCATAAATAAAGCTCGAAGATCTTCTGATCGGAGGAAGGCGGCACCTCCTCCACCAGGCAGCGAGGGGAGGAATCGGCAGGTTAAAGGTCCAGCCGGCGCTTCGAAAGGGCTTGGGCTGTTTGGTCAGTGCAGTAAGATTGCTGTTTGCATGGATTTGTCGGTTTAAGCACGAGTTCATGGATCCGCGGGCCCCCCAATAAAGCTCAGCTGCGACTAAGCTCGAAATCCAAGCATCACGCGTCCTAAGCTGTAGAGACCCAAACAATAGCTCCGAAAAGCAGAGCATGCGGAATGCCCTGGGTGCTGTCCTAAGTGCCAGGCCATCCGGAACCCGAATGAAAAGCCAGCTTAAAGTTAACTTTGATCCTCAGTTAGGAAGTTCAGGGTTAAAGAGCTTCGGAGTCGTTTGTTTGATCTAGTTGCACATTCCAGCCAGGATTCCATCCAACTGTCCCTCAGCAAGGAGAACGACACTCCATAGCCCATTCGCTTGTACAGTTGTTGCCGGTCGTCGAAACCCTAAACTGCCCTATAAACTCCAAAGCCCTAATTAAAGCCTAACGCCTGGACTTGGAATCCCTCAAAACCTAACCTGCTAAGCATGAACCGTCCATTCTCAAAGAGTAGACCCCTACCCGAAGCTCTAAGCCCTAAGCCACTAAGCCTAAACACGTTGGCCGCAGACCCAGCGGCGCGGCCCATCGAAATCGTCGACGAGCCCGGATCTCCCGCGGCGGAGGAGCGCAGTAAATTCGCATGAATCCTAGTAGTGCCTTAGGGGTGTGCCCGTAGGCTCCATTGTAGTTCCTTCTTGGAATTACCTTGAAGGATCCTAAATATAAACCACAGACAGGAACTACGACGGAGCCTATAGGTAGGGTCCGGGGACATGACTCGTAGCAACACGAGTTTAGGCGTTTAGGGGTGTAGGTGTAGTACAAACCCAGGAAATCAGAAACAACATCGTAGAAGACCATCAGCATCATCACCAGCATCAGCATGGCAAACGTCGGGATGAGTCATGGTACGACAGATTTTGATAATGAAAGTTGCAACGGTAAGCACAAAGACACTGGCGAGTGTAAATTCCGGGGTTTAGTGTAATATAGGGATAATCGTATATCATATCACTGATCTAGCATGTGCCGGTGATTGTACTCATCTTTCAAGCCTTCCAGCCCCCCGGAGTATCTTCTGCCCTTCTTCCCAGTTGAGGTGAGTCCTTAATTTGCAATGTCAAGGGCGAGTCAAATGTCGACTTGGGCTGACCAAACCCAGGTCTCAAGCCTAAAGCCTACTTGGAGGATCGTAGGACTTATGGGTAAGGTTATAAGCACTTCAAGTATGTTGATACAAATATATAGGATTACTCATAAGGTATCATGCGCATGTTTACCTTCTGTAGAACCCGAGTTACTGTGTCCCATGACCCTTCAAGTACTCCAAGCGTTTGTTTCAGGCTTCTGCTCCTGGCGGTGCCTCAGATGCGATCAATCAGCGCAGAAACTGGGTCTTTGGTTGTTGGGGTTCAAGGACCAGGGACTTGGTAAATGACACATGGAGTTGTGAGTACCCAGGGGCGTTTGCTACTCCTTGCAGCAACACATACTAAGTCACTAAGCTTCCTCTAAGTCAGGCAAGTACGGGGTTTTGGAAGCGTCTGTGAAAGCAAAGCAGCCTAAAGCCAAAACCACGCTCCTGAACTCCAAAACGCAAAGTCCTCAACCCAAACCCAAAAACCAAACCCCGTAAACACCATCCCCGAACCCCCAACCAAAGCCCAACAGCCCTGCACCCCAAAGCCCACAAATGCCGACCCGATTCCCTAAACCCAAAACTTTATAAGCCTCCAAAAGCCCTCTTCAACCCCAACAGCCCAAGATCCAAAACTCCCAGAATATCGAGCCGAGGAGGTGGCTAGGCCCAGGCTGGAGCCAGGTCGGAAGCGGTTGGTCTTCCCGGGTCCCGCGCTTTTGCGCCTCAAGAGCTTTCTCTCTTTGGGGGGTCTTAGCTAGCTTCGTCTATGATAGGGTTTAGGGTTTAGGCGTTCTTGTTTGTTTTGTCGATGATAGGGTTCCACGGGGTGATATAACATGTCTTTAGAGATTTGTGTTTTGCATGCGGTTGATCTGTTTAAATGGGCTGTAAATATCGGGCTGTCTCAGGGCTCTAGAAGGGATGAGAGTTTTAATCTAGAGCTCTGACCAGTTTAACTGGTGTTAAGGGGTTTCCATGCGATGACAGCTTGGCTGTTGATGGTGTGCAATGCAGAACGTAGGGTTCCAGGCTTGCAACCTAGCATGTTTGACTTCTCAGGCCCTAAACCCACCCCCCTCAAGCCACTCGTAGAACCCTCACAGCACACTCATAGATCCCTTTAAACGAACCCTCATACTCATAGTACCCTGATAGACCCCTTATAAGAGATCCTTCATAACTACCCTGCCAGACCAGGTCCCTTACCAGAAAGCTCATCGTACTAGATTCAGTAACTATATATATATGTATATATATACAGATGGAATTATAGATAGATAGATAGATAGATAGATAGACAGATAGATATCGACCTATCGCTAGTTAAGGATCCCTTGAAATGATCTCCGCACTATAGTAACCGTATATGGACCTATTAGACCCATGTTGGATCCCGTTAGATGATCTCCAAACCCGGCACTCGAGCTCGCTTGCAGGCAGCTCTTTGGGCTTCGAGTTTGCCGAGCCCCAGATCTGATCCGAGAAGTCTGAGAGCTGTGTAGGAGGGTAGGGGCTTATAGGGTTTGCGGTCCAAGGTTCTAGGGTTTAGACTTGTGGGTTTCGGGTTTGGGGGTTTAGGGGGTTTAAGGTCTAGGGGCTCGCGCTTAACTTGCAAGAGGCTCTTGAAGATAGTTCTGGATGCAACTTGCTCCTATGGCACCTCCAGCCTGGCAACTGCAACTTCGCAGCTATTGCTGGAAACGAGGTTCTCGCATGGAGAGAAAGAGTTTCAGCAAGACCTTGTGCATGTGCCACGCGAACTGCGACTCCATGCTTCTGCGATTTCTGAAGTTTGAAGATCTGCGGCGGACGGCGATCCTGGAGGGCTTTCTGGCCTTGGGACCTTTAGGGCTTGTTTCGGTGCACTTTGAGAGCTCTTGTGTGATGCCATGGTGTTGGATCAAGCATGCCATTAGAGAGGTGGCCGGGCGGGCCCTGATATCAGCAGCTTGGTCTTGGCAGGAGCTCAGGCCGCATTTCAGCCATGGCTTCCCCTGAGCTCCCGGCTTTCTAGGCCTCTCACTTAGGTGGCCATCTAGAACTCGAAGCAAGAAGTGCGCAATAGAAGTCAGAGGCCGCAATCGTTTTTTTTTTTTTTTTTTATCGCCTGGCGCAAATGACGTCGCGGAGCAGCGGCCCTCTTTAAAGGCAGGGAGTGGCCGGGACTGTGTTTTTTTCTGGAACCCTGGAGAATGTATCAGTTGTAGAAGTCACCAGTGATTGTCGATGCTCGGTGGGGCTCCACGTACAATGGGGAGGACATCGATTTGGGGAATTTCAGCTCCGTAGCCCATGGCTGCACAGCTTGGCAGATAAAGAGCAAAAGAGGGAGCATGAGAGCTTAACGCCGAGAGAGAGTGGACATGATTTTAGGTTGAGGTCGGCAAAGAAACTCAAGCCTTTTTTTCCAGAGCTCGTCCCTAGAGGAGTCCTGTGCCTCTGCTTCAGCCTCTGAGCTTATTGGGAGCTTCATATTTAGGGCACCGGTGAAGGGCAATGGGCTGAGGCAGTGGCCCTAAGTTCAATTCAAGACCCCAAAACTCTTAAACCCCAAGCCCAAAAATCCAAGCCCTGATTCAGTCCCTGAGACTTGTAAGGCCTTAATTTCTAGTTAAGGATTATAAGGAATCCCAAAACCCGAAAGCGAAGCTCTGATTGGAGGCGCAATGCTCTTGGCCGATGACGCTTATCATGCTGAAAGGGCTGGCCGGTGCGCCCACTTGCACGCATCCGTGTTTCCCTCTTATCGCCATGGACTCGGGCCGCTATACTTAAAGGCTCAGGGAAGATATCTGCAGGTTCGACGCAGACTCGCAGACTCACAATCGTCCTAGTTGAGTCAGGCTCAAGTTCTATTTGCAAAGGCCCTCTTTTCTCTGCGTCCACGCTAGCTCTCTACACTTTCCTGTTGGCAGCATATTCTACACCATTGATTGTATATGACTTTTAATTTAGTTTGGTGCTCTACACCAGTCTGTCGGCTGTGCGGCCACTTCGTGTATCGGGTCCAAACATCACCGTCGCCATTTTCGGCTCGCAAGGGCTCAGAAGTCTTTTCTGGCCCTGCGCAACTAAGCCAAGCCTTACTCATTCCACAGGCGCGAGTGCAGTGCCCAGTGCTCCGCTTGTTTCCCTAAACCCTAAACGTCGATACCGAGGTGCATTTGAAAAAACGTCGATTCAAGGGCTGTCAAGGGTTTTTAGTGATCCAAGCAGACAGCGCCGTGAAAACGGAATCTTTTCAAGACTCAAATGCACGCTGGTCGAACGGTGGAGTTTGGCTTGCGTTTGGCGCCCCACCAACTGCCTGTTGAAGTATAGCCATAAGCAGGTGGCTGGACTCACTTCTCTGATTGCTCCAGCTTAAACCATACGAGAGATCTCGTGCGAAGCCTTTTTCGATGTAAAGCATCCTTTCTGAAGGACATGGGAGTGATCTGAAGATGCTGGGAGCAATGTTTGCCATTCAGCAGTCCGAGAAGAAGAGCCCTCCTCGTGACTTTCTGGCACTGGATTGTTGCATCCAAGATGCGCAAAGCTTTTCTGCAGACACCTCGAAGCTGGATGCACCACCCTGCAGAGTTTAGGGTTTGAGAACCTGTTGCATCTCTTGAACTGGCGGAAGGCTTTTGTAGGCATGTTTTGCAACAGACGTGTGCGCAAGCCACGGCCGATCAGATTTCATGGGCTGGTGTGGAGAAAATCAGGAACCCAAGTATAGACCTTCAGCCAGCAGGCTACAGCATTGTAAGGACCCCTAAATAACTACGCTATCCCAAGCTTCACTTGTTCCCATGTCTGCCTCCACTGCAGCTGAACGGACTAAGGCTTTGTCGCGGTGGCTTGAATGCAGTTATGGTTAGTTACCTGGATGTGATGCCGCAAACCGTGATGCGCTGTTAGGCTGGTAGCTTGCTACTGAAGCACAAATGCGGTCGAGATTAGAGGGGTGCCGGTGCTTATCACGATGGGGACTACGACTACGAGCATCATGTCTATACATCATGCCCACTAGCTTCACTATCATCTTCGTTATCACTCTGGCTATCATCACCGTCAGCACCATCATCATCAGCATGATGATGATCATCATCATCATCATACTCAGTACACTGGTCGTCACCCTTGTCGTCGTGGCCGTGATTGTTGGTGTTCTCTGGCCTGGCCTTTAGCTGTAATTCCAAGCTTGATGGCGGAACAGCAGAGACGGCTCAGCTCCGAAAGCCTAGTTGATGTCCGCATCGCCCAGGCAGCTTATGCCATCTTCCTTGCCGGAAGCTTCGCCGTGTCTCGCTGAAATGAGTTCGCTGTTGCGTGGTGGTGGTTGTTGTTGTTGGTGCTGCTGCTGCTGCTGCTGCTGCTGCTGCTGCGGCTGCGGCTGCTGCTGCGGCTGCGGCTGCTGCTGCTGCTGCTGCTGCTGCTGCGGCTGCGGCTGCTGCGGCTGCTGCTGCGGCTGCNNTGCTGCCGCTGTTGTTGTTGTTGTTGATGATGTTGTTGTTGCACTCGTGATAATACTCACAGCGGTTATGGCGGTGCAGACCAGATCATTACCTGTTGTCGATGCACGATGGGTGCCACACCACGCTCACGAGATGAACTGTCGGTGATTGTTGTGATGTGTGTGAATCTTGTCGGGTGTTGTTTCTTTTGTTGCTGCATTATTTAGGTTGCTAGCCGTTGCTGCCGCCACGGTCACAGCGACACCTAGAGTAGGAATGCACAAAATGTTGACCGCAGGCGAAATTTTCGGTAATAACATGGCGGGAGTTGCAAAGGAAAGCAACCACCCTCATGTCGCTCTTCGCTCGCAGCCTTCCAAGGTCGGAACGAGTCCAAGCCCTGAATGATCGACCGTTAATCGTAATTTCATTAAGCTTAAACTGCTTAAACCTTCAAGTGTTCAAGCCTTGTGAACTTCCGCTGGAAACATGCCAGCATTGGTCGCAGGCTTAGTTAGGGTGCAGGATTACGGGATTGGGTGTTCAGGTCTGATTCAGCGTCTCCCTTCCTTGGATTCGCTGTTATCAAGGTCTACCACCTGGTTGCCAATGGCGAGTTCTCCTCCATTCTCACCATGGCCCAGATGATCCAATGCCTGGCATTTGTCCTGCTCACCATCAAGTCCCTATCCCAAGGCCAGTCCCTAGCAGCCAGCAGTGTCAACATTTTCCCTGGTGGTGGTGTGGCGGTGGTGATGGTTGTGACTGCTCTTGTGCAGGTATCTGCTTCCGCCGTGCTTCTTGCTGTCCTTTCTGTGGTGCGCCTCGTAGTATTTCTACTAATGCTTTCAGCAGATACAACCCCCGACGGTAATGAGCCCGCATGCCTGGAGGCAGTGTCGCCGGCCTGTCGGCGAAGTCCCTTGGCCTGGAGGCAAGCCAGCAGCTCGAGCGCTGGAGACCAAACATGTCAGTGGAGCTTTACAGGAAGTACCGGTTACAACCCTAAACCCTACACCCTAACTGCTGTGTCAACTGCTTGTGCTATTGATCCTTAGCCGAGGGAAGAAGTTGGCCAAATCATCTTCACTGGTGGTTGGCTACGGCCAAACTAGTGGCAGTAATGTCATGCCATGCCAATCATGATTTCTTTTCAGAACGATCTTCATGACAGCAGACACACTAGTTCATAATCACAATGCTTCGACCGGCAGCAAAGCAGTGTTTCATAAAGCTTCATTGTGCTCGCAAAGTGTGGTCGGGTTTAGGGTTTAGGGGTTTAGGGGTGGGGTTGAGGGTTTAGGGGTTTAGGGTTTAGGGGCTTAGGGGTTTAGGGGTTTAGGGTTTAGGGGTTTAGGGGTTTAGGGTTTGGAGTTTAGAGTTTAGGGTCAGGGTTGGTGGATTGGCTGATCGGCTGACCGGCTGATGTACGGTTTTGGGCCCCCTAAACTCTAAACCCTTAAACCCCAAACCCTTAAGCCCTAAACCCTACAGCAGTCCTCATGTCTTGTAGACCACACAGCGCAGGCGCTCGCCTTCGGCTGCAGGCTCTCATCTACAACGTGGCTCAACGGTTGCTTGGTCGGCACCTAGGGTTTAGGGTTTAAGGGTCTAGGGTTTAAGGGTTTAGGGTTTAGGGTCTAAGGGTTTACTGTAGGGTTTTTTCTTCGTCGTGACAGGAGGGTCTGAATTCCCTACATAACTCTGGCATAGTATATACCGACAACCTATGATTCTACTTATCACTTATCAAGGCCCCGATAGTCATCGTAGATTTGTTGGGAGTTGCCGCAGATTCCCAACTGGAACTCATCAACGGCTACAAAGTCACGGGTTCGTGGAACCCGGTGGCTCCCGCCTGGGGCTTGGCGAGTCTGAGGCATGTCGCGGATGCACGAAGCTCGCCAAACCGGCTTGTCAAACCGGCTCGCTAGCCAGGAAGGTAGGTGGTTGACTGAATCGTTGGTAGGTGATTGGTTCATTGGTTGGCCAGTTGGTAAGTTGGAAATCGTTGCAGCAGTAGTTCGTTACATCTGTAGTTCGTGATTTCTAGCGTTCGTCGGAGTAGCCAGTCAGTCAGTCAATCAGTCAATCACTCAGTCACTTAGTGGTTAGTCTGCCAGTTGCAGTTGTGGTTGTCGTTGGAGTTGGAGTAGTCCGGAGTTGCAAGAGGAGCAGTAGGCGCGTAGCAGTAGCAGTCATCGTGGTCCCGTTCTCGTCCCGGTCCTCATCCTCGTGCTCGCCCTCCTTGTCGTTGTCCAGCTTTGAGTCGGATCCGGGGCAAGCCAGGGGCAAGCTCTGAATGCCTCAGGCTATTTGCCGGTGGATGCATCTGGTGACTTTGTGTATCAGGTGGGGGGGAACGTGTCTTCGCAGACATTCACTGAGCCAAGCCGGCAGGGGGTCAAATCCCAGTCCTGAACCCTAAACTCTAAACTCCATCCGCCCGAAGCGTCCAAACTCAAAGACCCTAAGCCCCCAAAACGCAGTGAAGCCTCAAAGCCAGAAGAGCCAAAACCCAAAGCCCATAAGCCGAACCCAAAGATCCGAGAGGCCGTCGAGATTTGCAGCCTTTGCCTCGTCTTATTTCTGCTCCATCGCGCCTTTGTGTCCCATCGTTGGAGCTACGAGGAGGCAAGGACGGATAACTGCCTGGGTGTAGCATAGATCGTAACATCAGGATCAGTATCTCTGTGCTTGCTTTGTGTTTGTTGGTCTGATGGCTACTATTGCTGCTACACAGAGGGGCTTGTTGGTTGTGTGGGTCTGTGTATGAGCTATTTTTGGATGAGCGCCAGTCGCTCGGCCCTCGTCAGGCTACGAGGTTTCGAAGGCAGCTGCTAAACTAACAGCAAGCACAGCATTAGTGGCTAGGGTTGCGGTTGTAGTAACAGGGCTTTCGGATTTACAGTGTCCTGGTTACAGGTATAAGGTATTCGGGTCGGAGCAGACAGCAGAATTGGAGTACTTGTAGGGTCGACAATAGCGACAAGAAGTGTGTGATAAGAGAAGGGGTCGCAGGATTCGCATCAGCAGTAAGAGCCGCCATCATTGACCATGGGGCAACATACATCATGGCAGGGATCGTACTTTCAATGCGACCATCATCCGCGTAATCGTCGTCATCATGACCGTCATCATCCTCGTCACCTTCAGCATCATCATCATCATCATCATCACCATCACCATCAGCATCAACGTCACCATCAAGATCAACATCATCATAATAGCAGTAGTCGTCGTAGTAGTCGTCGTCGTCCTAGAAGTAGTAGGCAGCAGCAGCAGCAGCAGCAGCAGTGGTGGTCGTCGTAGTGGTACTTTGCAGGACCGGCAGTGGTTGCAGTATGAGCCGTACTCGTAGTCGTAGTCAGTCGTAGTGATAGTGGTGGGGTAGTGGTGCTGGTTGTTGCAACTTGCCAGGAGGCTGACTCTCTGCCAGCCCGCGCCCAAGTGAAGGGACCTGAGCTGAGCGAGCCGCAGTTTACCAAGAACTTTCAGCTTTCGCTTGCAGCTTGAGAAAGCAACTTAGGGATACTTAGGGTTTTTTGTGAGGGCTGAGGGCTTGGGGGCTTCTTCTGTATGCAGGGTTAAGACCGTTAGGGTTCTTCGCGTTCCAGGTTCAGGGTTTAAATGGTATCAGTATGTCAGATGCTGGTCTCTGATAGGAGCTTAGCTGCGAAGATTTTCCGACTTGAAATCAAAGTTTGAGTCGCTTCCTCTTGCGCAGCAGAGGCAGACGCACGCGCGACTCAGAGTCTACTCCACCTCACACCATGGTCTCTCCCTCATTCTTGGAAATAATCAGTAGTGCGTGACGCTCACCTTTAGCCACAAGTCAAAATCGTGGAATCTGAAGACTCGCTGCCAGTCCCTGAACCTCGATTGTCTCCTAGAAAGACCCACAACGAAACCTGAAACCCTAAAAGAAACACCATTCCGGCTAGGTTTCAGGATTTAGGGTTAGGGATTATCCAAACCGCTGCACTAAATTCTAGCCTAAACTGGCAAGGTGCTGCCGATGGTCATTGCAAGCCTCTTCCTGGCGGCACTCCTCCATGCGGACATGAACAGCCCCACAGCTTGTGAGGGATCTCTTGCTGCCTCTGCGGTGGGTTGAGTCTTTTAAAGGGTGTCGGATTTGGGGTGCAAGGTTCGGTTTGATTTTAAATTGTAGAGTGTCGGGTATTGGGCCTGTGGGTTTCAAGGGTTTTGCATATAAGATCAGCTCGTCGGGTTTCGAGTGTGTGTGGAGTGTACGAGGGCTCCACCTAGGGTTTCGGATTTCGGGGTTCAGGGGGCTCCCAGTCTAGTCGCATGCGGGGCTTATAGGGTTTAGGATTTCAGGGGTCAGGGCTTAGAGTTCAGGGTGGTATCACCAGTCGCCCCTTAAAGGTACGCTCCTCGTATCGCACGGAGCCTATGATTCTGTGCATGCCACTTTTTCCAATGGAACATGGCCAGATTTGGAGGGGCTGCCGTTTGATACCCCACAGTGTCGTGACCAAGGCCGCCCAGTCTTCGTACCTCAGCTGCATCAGGGCGGATTCGGGTCTGCGAGAAATTTCCTTGTAGTCCCTGTATACTTATACTTATACTGCAATACTTGCACCAAAACCATGCCTCTATCAGTTTATGAGAAGAGACTTCAGGCAATTTGATGAATATCCGCCCCCGCAAAGTAGCACACGCACACATTGCAACGCGAAAGGATCTTTGTGTGCTTCTGTTGTGTTCTCTCTCTCGCTCTCGCTCTCTCTCTCTCTCTGTGTCTTTCTGCGTTTCTCCTATTCAGTGTTTCCTGCTCGCCGTTATCATTTTGTGTATCCATTTGTCGAGTCTGTGCTGCCCCAAACCCTACGACCCCGAAGCTACAGGCCGGGCCAAACCTTCAAACCATGAGTCCATGAACCCGAAACCCTAAAAAGCCCTAAAATTTCTCTGCGAGCCCTGAACGCCCGGAAGGCCCCGAAGGCTTTTTGCCGAAAAGTCCGCAAGCCTCAAAGCCTGAAACCAACCCTTAAACCTCTCCCAAACCCCCCAAACCCTAAGCCTTAACAGCCCCAAAGCAAAACCGCAAGGATACTCTTTGGATGGCCGGGCTCTTCCTCAGCGTGGTATCTGTGCTTCCCCAGCTGCTGCTCGGCGTTACCGTGGTTAGTTTTCGTCCTGGACTGCAATATCCCGTAATTGGGGATCACGAAGGAACATCATTGTCAGTTTGCTAAGTTCACTCTGATGATTGCTGTTATGATGCCCATAACTGCACTGTTCAATCAACGTGGTTTCTTCGAAAGCGTGACATGTTAGAGTCTTCGGGTCATTTACTGCCCCTAGAAGACTGTGTCCTCGGTGGCTGTATAGAAGCCTTTAGAACACCTGACAGATAATATTGGGACCTTAGCAACGAGAACAGCATGTTGGGGTATGCTATGCTGTATTGTAGTGTAACTACATAGGAACTATGAGGCGACCCTGTTGTTATGTTCATCCATTCGTGCTCCAGAGAGGTCCTACAGTTGAGGGTTTAGGATGCAGAGGTGGGAAGTCCCTGCAACAACGGTGATAATTGTTCAATAAATAGTAGGGGTTGTTGTGTACAGAATGATGGTAATAAGAACTCAGTAAGTAGGAAATACTGCGCACAGACATACTGCAGTCGACAGAAAATATTTTCGTAAACCCGCTGCCTAGCGAAAGAACAAGGCTCTGTCTCAATCCTCGTTCTTAGCGGCCGAAGCCCTCGATGGGTTGGGATTCACAACCTCCTCGAAATGCAACCTCATTGTCGGTTCTTGTTAAGGAACTTAGTTTATCCTACCGTAATGTGGAAGCCATACTGTTTACGATAGGTCCTTACGATGGTAGCTAACATGAAGCAGCTGTTCCAGGTGGCACATCCACCAGACGGGCGGCGTGATCCAAGCGTGCACAGGACCTGGGGGGAGGGGGCTTGGCTTTTGAATGGAGTACTCTTCGGGGTCGGAATAGGCAATACTATTCAAGCAGAGTGCCTTTGTATGATTATACCAGAATATCACGAATCATGCCCCAAAGCCAAATTCTATTCATGAACATCCCTACACTAGACGGCCGCACGCTGCCAGGCCACTACATCGCGATGCTCGCCTGCAGCCGTGCTCTGAGTGGCATCTTCATGTGGCATGCGCGCTTCGACATCACCTGCGTGCGGCTCGTGGGCGGCTTCAACCAGGCAGGCAGAATCCGGCTCATGTGCTTTTTTCAACAGTCCCGATCATTCCTTGACTCTATCCGGTTTTAAGATTGACGCCTACAGTTACAGTTGCGAGGTGTTACAAGTTGCGTTTCATGTTCAGGCTTCTAAGCACTTTTAATGGTTTTCATTCGTGGTCCCCGTGGCTTTGTAGTACTTTAGACTCTCGACTTTTTACTGACTTTGCAATGAGGGTCGCAACTGCAACCCGCGTTGTGTAACCTCGGCAGGCGATCTGGGCGATTCTGCAGGGGGCTCAGCTTCTCCTGGACCCACACAAAACAGCCCATAGGTTAGGATGGTCTATAGCGCAATAGCGTTTCCAAGCCTTAAGCCGGGAACGCAAGAGCTCTTGTTCCAACTGCAATCGTTATCGATCCTGTATGATTCTCTCGTTTCTCGGCATTGTTCAAGAACTATTTCTACTAATGGCCTATGCATACTCAGAATATGTGCAAGTGTTGGCAACTGTACGATGACACACTTACTCAGAAGTCTTGCTCATCATGAACCCTCCATCTCGCCGAGGGGTGCACATCTTCTCCATCTCATCCTCTTGGGCGATTTCGGCTACTACTACGTCAAGGCTGGGTTATGAGCTCCACTTCTCTACACGTCGCATCTCACGGACACATCAATTCCAAACCTGAAGCCCGTGCTGCTGGCACCTGCTGTCGAAGAACCTCGGTTCTGATGGCAAGTTCGGAAGGATGGTGCGCAGTCCCTCGCTCCACAGTTATGATTTCTTTATACCGTCCCTCATTCCTCTTGGCGTCAGAAGGCAGATCCCTTGCTCCGTGACTGACAGACTCCGAGCCCTTAGGCGATACCCTAAGAAGGCAACCCAGAAGTTGAGGTTTAAAGGGTTAGTTAGTTGGGGATTTAGGATTTGGGTAGTTCTCAAAATCAGGATCCCTTTTTAGGTCCCCAATATAGTACGGCACCCTTGTTATATTATAAGAAAGGACCCTCTTTTCGGGACCCTAAGTTAGAGAACTACCCATTTAGGGCCCAATAAATGCCATGAGACTACCGGCCAGGCCGTCATGCAGCAGGGGTTGGATTTCAAGATCGAGCTGCCCTGCGCCGACATGGTCTAAAGAGGCAGCCCAGTGAAGCGATGAAGAACTATGGCTTCGCTAGCTTCTTCTGCAGAACAGGAGGTTTTCGGATTTTGCGTTGAGGGAACCAGGGTTGGGGGTTTAAGGCTTCTGGTTTGGGCTGACGGTTTAGGGGGTGGAGTTTTGAGTTCAGCTGTGAGCGCAAACTTGCCCGATATCCAGAAGGCCTTTGAAGACATGGCAGCGGCAAGACTACTGCCAGGTAAGCATCGGCCAAGTAGGCATCGGAAACCTTCACCTACAAACTCAGCCCGACTTCCTTCAACAAGCAGGGACTGCAGTCATCGAGTTGTCCCATGTCCGATGATCCGAAGCCCTCCAAACCCGGAATGGCGCAATGAACCCTTTACAAAAAGCAACAGACATCATAAACAGCAGCAGAGTCATCACCACGATGGTGGTTGTTCTTCTTCTTTTGATGGTGATGATGATGCTGATGATGATGATGATGATGGTGATGATACGAATTTTGATGATGCTTCGGGACAAGAGATCCACTCCCGCTTTCCCATCCTTGTTCCGCTCCCTCGCCCCAAAAGTTGATGTGTCCCGTCACAGCAAACTGGAGCGGGGAGCCTTTCATTCGAAATCTCTTGAATGGAGCAAGGCATTATCTGAAAGGTTCTTTTCCTCGTGCAGCTCCCAGATCTACCAGGTAGCAGCGTGTTGCGCATCAGCCCTAGCTCCCAAACTGTGAATCCCACAAGAACTCAAGGATGTTGACAAGGGTTCTCGGAATCTACGGCCCTTGAAGGCTCTTTTCGCCCGAGGCGCCGAGAGGAACCAGTGATGCAGCAAAGAACAGTGCATGTAGTCATCGAAGGATCTACAGAGTAGGTTTTGGGAGTCATAGACCGATTTCGTCATCTAGCAGCAAAATGACAGCTCAGGCCTTATTACCAAAGCTTCAGGGCTTTATGGCAATAGACTTCGTATCCATGAAGACGAGCTGCACGTGCTTTGCTGTAGAGCGAGGATCGCTGCTTGGAGAGCTTTGAAAGAAGTTCACCCGCTGCCCTTGCTGTTCTGTTCACCTCCAATCGTTCGGGTCATGGAGACGCACCTCCAGAGATGAGAGAGAGAGAGAGAGTTGTACTTTGGGTTTCCATATCAGGTATCCTACTCCTACAGAGCAGGGTCTTGAAATTTCTTATATGGGCCTCAGATGGCCCAGCAAAGTGTTGAATCCTTGTTGCACGTAATATAATAAATGCCTGAGTGAGTCGTGATAGTGTTCCTGCAGGTGCCTGGTTATGCATAGGTATAATTTACCATAAAAACCTATTCTAGTATTCTAGTTGTTAAGGTTCCTATACTATTAGTGTCTTTATATATCAGGCTGCCTCATCTCCTTAAACTCCCGCAGCCCCGACGGCAACGAAAGACACTTCCGCACCACAAAAATTCATCATCAGCCCTCAGGACTACACTGCAGGCGTCTCCCTGCTTTAGCGTCTACACAACTTCCCCAATAGAGGGGGCCGTGCGATTTGGAACGGTGACATGATTAGGTTTAAGATATATAGGGTTATTCTGCCTAGTAAGGGGGCTCTGATTTCTACTCGTTTAGGCCTTTATATACTTGCCTGCGCCTGAAATCCGCCTATCCGCCATGGCCGATGCACCGAAGCGGCGAGTCGCTGACCCGGAGGGACCCACACTAGAGCTGCTGCGTGCCCTTGGAGCGCTCTGAGATTTCTAAGTGAAGACGTACTGTTGATGACATAAATCCTGCATTACCTTATTAAGGACCCTAAACTATGGGAATTCTGGTATGTTCCTTATTATGGGGATAACGCAGGATTTATATCATCAACCGTATGAGGGCTTTATGGGATGTTGCTGGTGCTTTAGGGATCAATTGGCCTAGCTTTCTGTGTGAAGCGCCTATAGCACAGTGCGACGGACTGACCGAAGCCAACGTCTGACTGCATAGTATCGGGGGATGCAAAGTCAGAATAAGGTTTCGGGGTATGTGATACTGTTGATGATATAAATCCTGCATTACGCTAAGGGCGTTAAGCTATGGGAATTATGGTCTAGTCCTTATTATGAGTAATGCAGGGCTTATATCTCAAGCGTAGTGGCGTAGTACATGGGAGAAGATCTGTCCAAAAACCAAGGAGCTCCACTTCAACGGCGCTAGGGTACCCTTGAGCTCAGTCCTCCAAAACCCTCTAGACGAACTTAACGACCACGAGGGTTCCTTCTTCGCCGCAGGTACCTTCGGCATCGGGAACACAGCCGGTTACTACGACCGCCACCTGGAGAAAAGTATTCAATTTCCGAAGACGATTTTTCCGAAAGCGGTTCTGCATTACACTTGAGATTGGATGCTGCCATGGATGCCATTGCATCCCTAGCAGTTCCTTCAGTTCCTTCATTGGCTGAGAACCGGCTCGCTTCAAGGTAAGCTCAATTTAACTCCTGAACCGACCGGAAGGCATGCCTGAATGAACATAGAAGTCCACCGTCCTCCTCGCAGATCCCGCGCCGGCCCGAACATATGAGGCCGACTGTCTGGGTTCTCAAAACCCCTAAACCCTTCTAAGGTTCGTCGAGTTACGACCCCCTTTTGAACCTTCATCAGTCCGATGCCTTCACTCCTTCCGATCCCAAGCGAGGCAACATCCGAGGGAAGTTCCTCCGGCTGGACCCGTCCAAGCTCCCCGCGAACCCCCCGAAGGGGCGGAATGCGACGAAGAGCTGCAAAGAGGCCACGGGGCTCTTTTCAATGGAGGGTCATGGGATCTTCCAAGGGTGGGTTTATGGGTATCTGCAACGTATGTGAGCATTGTTTTAATAGTCTTGAGACAGGGGCAGTGTCGATAAGGGAGACGACGAAGATGGTGTTCGTAACATCCCCTTCACTGGCCCCTTTCACCAAAGGGTGGATCAGGCTCGCGGCAAAGAGCACTGGAAGCACCTCCGCTACGAGGACTTTGAGCCTCTGAGATTGCTTTGGGACCAGTGCCTTGGCGGCTCTGTGCATTTCTTCTGGCTCGCAAGCTCGGGAGCCCTGAAAGCCTGCGTCAGAAGCTGCTCGCTGCTGCCCCAGCCTAGCTACGAGAGTTCGAAGACTCCCGAAATGCCGAACTGCTTGCAACGGCAGCATTCCACGTCCCCTCCTTCCCTGCCATATACTCGATGTGTACGGGAAATGTAAGCCAGCAGCAAGACTCAAGACCTTGATCATCGGTGTGTTTTCGTCCCGGAAGAAAGCAGGATCGGAGCGTTGGGATTCGGATCTGAGGTACATTCGGGACCTGTCTCCAGAGAACGACGACGAAGCTCAACTCAACCCTCCCGGGCTTGGACGGTGAAGGGTTAGGCTGGGGTGTAGTGGTTTGTTTATGGCGAACTGTAGCATTTGTAATAGGGTTTAGGGTGCACGGTGTAGGTTTTAGTGAACTCTTACTATTCAGCCTCTTGTAACTAAGTGCGAGTTGAGCATCTCAAAACCACGAGGATCACGTCGAGCGCAGTGACGCCCTGTGTAGTGCCTGACACCCCGACGCGGTGACATCCGAATCTCTATCCGAACCTTAAGCGGAGATCATCAGCTTTTGCTCTGCCCTTTGCAAAGCTAGATCGATCCGCTTGCGGCTCGGACTGTTTTCTTGCTTCTTTTCCTTTGTGGCTCCCTGTATCTGTATCTCTTTCTCTTTCTTCCTGTCTCTGTCTCTGTCTCTGTCTCTGTCTCTGTCTCTGTCTCTGTCTCTCTCTCTGTCTCTTGCCCTCGTTCGCTACTTCTCTCTCTCCCTCTCTCTGTCACTCTTTTGTATTGCTGTCTGGGGGGTTTGGGAATTTCAGCATTCCGGTGGCCCATTTTCTGGCCTGGGGTCAGGCATCGGGCCCCAAACAAGCTTGGCCAGAAATCCACAAGGCCGGCAACATAATGCATCCTTGGTACTTGTATCTACCTGTCAGCAACTTACTGAGCACTTAGCAGGCTGTAAGTAGAGATCTAAGTAGGATAGCCCCTGCAAGGATAGGTGTATCTCTACGTACGGCCGGCTTACTAAGTCCCCTGATACATTAAGTAGACCTTAGACCCTTCTAGATGCCTGAGAAAGGCCGGTTGTACTTTTTTGGTGGAGCCCTGTACCCTGAAGTAAGGAGCTATCCGCCATCTTGGCCCGTGCCGACTTGCACGGGAGCAGTCTTCGAGTGGCCCAGGCCACTTTAGGGTCATAAGGGTTTAGGGTTCATAAGATTTATTGGGGTTTACAAGATTTAGGGTTTGGGGTTAAGAGTTGAGGGCGCGTAAGGTTTAGGTTTTGTTGTTTTCGGGTTTGGGGTTTGTAAGGTTACGTATAGGGTTTTCGGGTTGGATGTGGAACATAGCACGATGTTTTCCTAACGCTCGTTTCATGTCAACAGCATGTTGTCATTTTAGTGGGGGTCTACGGGGCTCGTAGAACTTTTTAAGAACACGAAACGTAGTATCAGGTGTGGTGACACCATCATGCTGCGTGGTTCTATCTTGCACATCGCGGCCGTCTTCTGCAATGCTTTTTTGCTCTCCTGTGTTGCGTTCCGTAAATCCCAGCTGCAGAAATGTGTATCTAGCATGATTGTTGCAAATATTACTATTATGTTAGTATTGTTTGGCTATTTACTGACAATTATCATCATGATTATGTTATTCTTATTGTTAACATCGTATAACAGCACCGATGCCCAATTCTAATGAAGAGGCCCGATATTTGGAACCGTGCCCCTGGTCGGCAGGCGAGGAACCCAGGCATGGTACGTGGCTCGGCGCGTGAAATGGCGAGACGGGCGTCATTGAGCCGTTCTCGTAGTCCTGTTTCCACAGATCTAAAGAGCTTTATAATTAAAATATAAATACCCTAAATCCTCAACCCTAAGCCTGAAGCCCGAAACCTTACTGGAGCTTCAAGGGAGAATCAGCGACAAGACGAAGCTAGTAAGACTCTTCATAGCATCATCCCCACATCCTCCATAGACCGGGCTGGCCAAAGCAGACTAAGGCCATGAGGTCTCAGGCAGTGTAGGTTGCCGATTCAGGGTCTGCGCTGACTTGAGGTTTGCGGGACTGGGGGTTTGGCTAAATGTTGGGTTTGGGGTTGGGACTTGTGTCGGGTTCAGCAAGGGTTTGGGGTTTAGAGTGTTGAGTTTCATGGGTGTATGAGGCAGCATACTGCATCTATCTGCATTCCCCAGGCTTGGCGGGAACGGTCATCGAAGAGACACAGAAAACCTTTCGGATCATCACGGCCGACAACCAGGTCAAGGTGCTGCCAAAGGAGAGCTCCGTCTTCGAGGCAACCCTGATCAAATCTTGGATCCTAGAGAGCCCAATACTTCTTATATCTTCAAGGAATATATACCTAACCTTTCAACTTTCAGCCCTGAAGCAAGCGATTACTCCAGGTTCAGGCCCTTGGCCGCTCCTTGCGCCTGCTGGGGCCCTCCTACGTCCAGCGCTGGTCGGAGAAGGGGCCAAAGGCCTTGAAGCCGCCGGAGCGGTGGACGCTGCAGTGAGGGAGGAAAAGAGCGCCAAATAATCTCTTAATATGCCTCGCAAAAAAGACATTAAACCGGTTGCCGGGCTTTGTTTGGCGCAAGACCCCCCAAGCTCTCCCAAACGGGGCCAGAGCAGCAGACACCACCTCTCCACATCTCCAAAGTAATCACCTCGATCACCCAGGCCCACCTAGTAGAGCCTTTGAAAGCACCAACCAGCTTCGCACCACCGACTATTAAGCTTCAGCGTGGACCCTTTCTACCCTCTTCCAGGTACCGGCAAGTTGCGCAGCGCAAGCGCTTCGACGCCCTGGGCGGCGAGAGCTCCAGGGCCGGGTGACCGAGTTCGGAGGGATCCAGGGCTTAGGGCAATACGGTGGATGATATAAATCCTGCATTACCCATAATAAGGAATAGACCATAATTCCCCTAGTTTAGGATCCTTAAGGCAATGCAGGATTTATATCATCAACAATACGACGACTAGGGTGTGCAGTTTCGGAGTTAGGGCTTCGGGCTCATAGGGCTCAAAAGTGCGTAGGGTTTGGGGCTTAGGTTCTGGGATCTCGGGGTGTGACGATCTTGTGCTCGTCATTGTGTTTATGCACCATGCTGCCTATGTTTTTTTGGGATCGTGAAGTATTAGAGGGGTCGGAGTATGGCATCATGAGTAATACCATGATGACTTTTACTATTGTGGTGCTGAATATGTTCACATGTTTGCTGCGCAAGCTGATGGTGACGAGGATGATGATGACGAAGGTGACAACGGATGACAAGACATACGCCCTAAACCCCGATTTGGGGGGGAGGGCATTGGCGTAGGCTTTTGGGTGCTCTAGAATTTCCGTAAAGCTTCGGCCTGGAGTTTATTTGTATAGTCGCGGTACCTTTCAGCCTTAGCCTGCTTTTTCTGAAGTTGGGGGTTTGCATACTTGCTGGGTGATGAAGGAGCAGTAAAGTCTGGTCGCAGTCCGTCGCCTGCAGCCTCATCCCTACACCCCCCGAAACCCTAAACCCCAAACCCTTGGCCTTCAGAACTACTACGAGTGCCTCGTGACATCCTCCTTCAGCCGGATGGATGACGCAGCACTCAAGGACCTGTGACCCAACACCCACGTATGATGCGTTTGGCTTCCGAGCCGAGGCGTGGGTTGTTAGAGCTCGCAGGGATTGACCAAGCAGAAGGATCCGTCTCTTTGGGCAGTAAATTCCGCGTGCTGCAGTGAGCGACGCTAGTGAAACTACTGCATGGCGCTCATTGCATTGCATTGCATTCCGTCGTTGTAGAGTGGTGTGGGATCCTAGAACATGTCACAGCGTCCAAAGTGCCTTCTGTTGTTGCAGAGCGCCGTGGTATACCGACCTATCCAGAGTCTTTTTTGCCACCCGGTAACCCTGTTTTGAAACACATTGTCAGTTGGGTAGTTGGGTAGCAAGTGAGGGACTGTTTATAGGCCGTGCACGCCTTTGCTGAGCAGAGCCTTGAGCTACCATCGCGAGGATCCTAACTACGTCAATGCGATGCGTTTGTGGTCGTGGCAGCTTCAACACAGTTCCTTACAAGCTCTGACAAACACAGCGTGCATCCCCATAAGCCCCAAACCCCAAACCCTAAACCCTGAACCCTAAGCAACTACTACACCTCGCCCACCCTGGCGCCCTCCTTTCCAGCTCGCTGCGAGGATCGCAAGCAGATCGAGAAGGAGATGCTATACGGTTGATGATATAAATCCTGCATCACTTATATTAAGGGATTAGGGTTTAGGGTTTAGGGATAATAAGGAATAGACCATAATTCCCATAGTGTAAGGTCCTTAAGGAAATGCAGAGTTTATATCAGTTAACAGTAGCCCCTCCCTACGCCCTAAGATGCGAGCATCTTAGGGGTTCGATTTTAAGGGTGTTGTACTGTCTGCAAAAGAGAACTTGTAGGGTCCTATATCAAGGGTCCTCTCAGGGTTTTTCATAGGGGTCTCTAAGTGTGCTAGGGTTCCAGAATTGAAGAGAATCCTAAGCCCCCAAAGTCTTCACGCCTTGCCTGTGGGGTTCACAGCTCGGGACGGGAATAGTGATATCTGTATTTTTGCGCAGATTATATATATATATATCTATCTATCTATCTGTGTGTGTCTCTCTGTCTCTCTCTCTCGCTCTCTCTGTCTCTCGCACTCTCTCTCTCTCTCTCTATCTCTCTGTAAGATTATGTAGGTATTGATTTAGTTATATTTAGCTGGTCTCTCTGTATACCCACATACATACATGCATGCATACATACATACATACATACATACATACATAGGTACCTACGTACATAGTATTTTTATGTAGACAGAGGTAGCTAGATAGGTGTGTATACATGCGCAAGTGCATAGACGTTACAGGTGCATTGACATGTAATTACACATTTTATGTTGTTTTATGCTATGCCATGTTCTGTTTTGTCTTTCATTTCGTACGAAGCACTCACCGCCCGACTTCTGTAGGACTTGCCGCGAACCTTTGCGGCTCTTCCGCCGCTGAAGAATCCAGAAGATGAGGAAGTGGAGTGTTAAGGGGTTTGGGGTTCTACGGTAGTATATAGGGTTACAGTGCTTTCGGGTTTAGGGCTTCGGGTTTGATATTCAGGGGGCTAGCTTGCGGGTTAACATGCGTGGTTCAGGGTTGGAAGAACTCGTAGCATATGTGCGGGCATTGAGGGAGTGTTGAACAAATCGCATATCTTTTCCCTGCTCTGGGCCTGGGGCAAACTGAAACGACGCCGCCACGACGACTGTATTACTGCTGCTGCCACTACTGCTACTCCTCCTGCTGCTGCTACTACTACTCTAGTGCCGTTAAAACTTTAAATCCCAAAACCCGAACCAGACACCCCAACCCCTAAACCCGCAGACCATACAACCTTGAGACACTGCAGCCTCCAGTCATCTACGTCAGGAATATCTGAAGCCGCTGCTAAAGCGAGTCTTGGCCGCCTACATCGAGAGAGGCGGGGTGTGCCAGGTGTAGGGGCTCTGTAACCTGCAGAAGCACCCCGAAGCCCTTTTGTCTTGAAGGTCATAATACACGTCCTTAAATCACAATCCCGCGGAGTGTGGCAAGTTGCAACCCTACAGCCCTGAAACCTAAACCCTGCAACATGCGAAGCCTGGAAGAAGCAAGACAAACTAGTTGAGAACCCTACTCGGCGCTCAAGGCTTCCGGGCCGAGCGTCTCTAAAGAACAGTAAGGGTTTCGGGTTTTGGGTTGTTGTGTTGGGAGGGTAAAGAAGATTGCAATGACATCTCAGGCAGGAGAGAAGGACTTCTAACCCAGCCGTGGGGTGTCATTTTTGTTCTGAAGACGAGTATATTCGGGGTAAGCCACAAGGATTGGGGCCCCAACAGGCTAGGACCGATTGACCTCAATTGTTGGGGTGGCTGAGACAAACTATGCTGACAGAAGCGCACGATAAGCAGGTGGATCTCAACTTCTGAAGAAGCACACCTGCGGCACTCACAGTGTCGACAGTTCAAGGCTTGATCCCCAAATCCTAAGCTCTAAATGCACTAAACCCTAAAGCAGACACGACACCCTAAGCCCCGAACCCTTAAACCCCAAACAAGCCCTGCGTCCTCAACCCTCAACCCTCAACCCTAAACCCTTAACCCTCACTCACCGCATTAAGAAATCCGAGAGTCGTATCGTTCCAGGTCGAGCGGTCGGTGCCGCATCCCGGGCCAGGACCTCGGAGGATCTCGGAGGTCGAAGCTGAGAGGCTTCCTTCTTAGGGCTTATAGGGTTTTTAGTATAGGGCTTAAAGAGTTTAGGGCTTATAGAGTTTATAATATAGGGCTTAAAGGGTTTAGGGTTTAGGGTTTATAGTGTAGGGCGGCGCCGGGGCAGCCCGTGCCCGCCGCGGGGCTTACAGGGTTTAGGGTTTAGGGTTTATCATATAGGGCTTAAAAGGTTTTGGTTTTAGGGCTACCTTTTCGATTTTTGTGTTGCTTTTGGCATGGGGCTTGTAGTATTCTCATGGGGCTTTATACCCCTGTGTGGCATGTAGTGGGATTACATGGGTGTGATAAGGGCTCTCCATGTTTTCCTGGTAAGTTTTGGTGGTGGTTTGGGGATTCGGTTCACGGTTCATGCAGTGTCGGCTTGAGGGAGCCGGCATTCTGAAGTCAGCATCGCAAGTAAGCCTGAGAGGCTCGAACTTAAGTATGAAACACTCTCGACCTAGCAAGGCATGCTGCGCTGAGTCGTGAGAAGCCATGAGATAGTATTGTAGGCTCATTCACTCTCTTACTCATGATGCGGCCACACCCAACAGCACTAGCGAGAATGGCAATGACCCTCACAGTAGTAAGTGTATGTAGTTGAGTCCTCTCGGATGTCGTATGAGAGATGTATGAGAGGAAGCCGGATTACCAGCATGTCTCAAATGTTGCAGCCAAATGCGCTTTTCAGCCAATTCTACTTCGATACAGCAGATCACTTTTGATATGTAGGTAGGTAGATAGAAAGATGGATAGACGACAGTATGCCGTACAGCCTAGTTGCGAGATGCCAGACAGGATGACTTCTTCGTTGCAGCTGCGTAAGGCCAACGGTGTTGCAGCCTTCTCCATGGCTGTCACGACCGCTCGGTACGCTCCCGCCCGGACTCCCGCCCGGCGCCAGGGTTCTTATGGTGTAAATGGGGTAGCAGCTTGAGTGCATTTAGAAGCTTGCTGTGCCTGGCTGATTTAAAGCACAACTCATATGTTACACAACGTAGTTTATGTTTCTGTATCGCTTTGCCGACTGAGTTGAAAGTACAGAGCTTAGAAGGCTTCTCGTTCAGGTGCACATGAGGTTTGAAGCACTCTCTGAGTCGGCTGCTGTGACTGCTGCATTGGCCGTTTCGGGCTCTAAACGCGCAGCTTTCCCTTCTCCTCTCTCCTACAGGGACTCCTACTGTCCCAGTCGCACCCGCCGCAGACAGCCAGCTGACCAGCTTGCAACTGCAAACTCTAAGCTTTCA